TTTCCAAACAATGAGGCCTCTACCCCATGGAAAGGCCTCCCAAGCTGCCAGGAATCCTCTCTCAACACAGGCCCACTGGAGGCATGTCTTCTGCTATGAACTGTTTTCCTGGGAAAATAATCAAGGTGGAGATGAGCTACTGAGGAGGGTGGGTGGCTAGAAACACAGGGAAACTTAGCTGGTCAACCATCACTCCTGTCAGCTAAGTCACTGCAAAGGTAGATGTCTTCCACTGGCCTCTCTCCATTAGAGGAGAAGCTGTCTAAAAACAAAAACAAAAAAATCAAGGAAGGCAGTCTGGCTGGATGTACTTACCCCTGCCACTGAATGCTTTGGTTAGGATAACACAGGGAGAGAGTCTGCCCTGCTGGCATGCCCACCACCACACCACACACCTGAAGCTATTAGCCCTGTTTCCTGAGCTCATTTCAACTCCCCCTGATGCCAGAAAAAAGTCTAATTAGTAAAGAATTTGAAGAAAAGAATTTGAAAGAGAACTCTGTCACCCACAAACCAGTGCTCGCTGGGGATGTGACTCCTCCAGGTGGGGCTATAACTGTCCATGGTTCCTTCCTAGTCTTCAATGTTGCACAAGAAGTTTACACATACACTTTGCAACAGAGTTGTCTCTTACAGGGCAGGTGATTCTGGATGATCCTAGAGCCATTGATTTTGCAAAAGAGTTCTTTCTTCATGTAGGCTCTATCTAGCTGCTTATAGACTAAGCTGCTGAAAGAGAAAATTTCTTTGTGGCCCTTTACAGAGAAGTCAGGTGGAGAAAGTAAATAAGAATCTTAGGAGCAGTGTTTTACTTAATAGTGAAAGAGGGTCCCCTAATTCCAAGAGAATGACAGAATGATTGCTGCTAAGCTCAGGATGTCCAACCTGTTCCTGACAATGGTAAAACCACTGTGTTGAACAAAAACCAGACACAACCCAACAACTATGAGTGGAGCATTACCTCCATGATCCCTAGGTTCTGGTCCTTTCCCCAGTAGAAGCCCTTGCATCAGCCAGGGCACGTCTCCTGCTGTGAACTGTAAAAGATACCCATAGGCGTGTGTGGCTCGAAGGAACCTTCTGGCAGATGTCTCTCCCTCCTGCTTTGTTTCTATGGATGGTGCCTCCCAGTGTGTCCTCTGTGTGTTGGGTTGGTCTGCTTGTCTCAGGTCCTCCCTCCCCTAAACTCCAGCCCCAGGAAGCTGTGCACAGACTAGAGCATTTGGGGCTAACTTGGCAGCATGATGTGGCCGCTGTCAGCTTCCAAAACATGACACCAGTGAAAATATGAACCAAATGTTCCTCATATGCAAGGGTGTGAAGTCTTCTTCATCCTTCTCTCTGAGAGCAGACAGCAGGAAAAAAGTGGATGGTTTGGGGTTTCAGTCCTGATTCTATCTCTTAAGAGCTGGGTAACATCTTCCCAACCCGATTCTCAATAAAATTACAATCTTTTTGCCCCAGGTGCCATTGGGGTTAAACAAAGTCATTTGGTGAGTACCTGTGACATGCTAGGTAGTGTGTGTGAAAGTAGCTGTTCTCCTGAGCCGTGAGCACCTGACAAGGCCATTTCTTATTCCTCCTGGGCCAGGCAGAGGGACCTGTCCATCTGGGCTTGAGTCTTGGCTCTGTCCTTTGCTCACTCTGTGACTGTCATGGTTTGTCTGTGAGGTGTCCCCCAAAGGCTCATATGTGAGACAATGCAAGAGGGTTCAGAGGGGAAATGATCAGGTTGTGAGAGCTTTAACCCAATCAGTGGATTACTCCCTGATGGGATTAACTGAATGGTAACTCGAGGCAGGTGGGATGTGGCTGGAGAAAGTGGTTCATTGGGGGCGTGGCTGTAGGGTATATATTTTGTATATAGAGAGTGGAGTCTCTCTCTCGGCTTTCTGATCATTCATGTGAGCTGCTTCCCTCAGCCACACTCTCCCACCATGATGTTCAGCCTCACCTTGAGCCCCAAAGAATGGAGAACGGAGTTGGTTGTTGATGAACTGAGACCTTGAAAAACATGAGCCCCTCCCCCCCCAAAACTTTTCCTCCCCTAAAATTGTTCTGGTCAGATTTTTAGTCACAGCAGCAGAAAAGCTGACTAAAACAGTTATCTTGTTATTTGTCTTTTTTTTTTTCCTTGTTCTTGGATCCTTTTTTTTTAAATTGATTTTATTTTTTTTTAAATACATGCCAGCAGAATGCATTACAATTCTTATTACACATTTAGAGCATAATTTTCATATCTTTGTATATAAAGTATGTTTATGCCAATTCATGCCTTCATACATGTACTTTTTTTTGCACTACAATTCTTATTACACATATATATCTCTGTTTGTATATAAAGTATGTTGAAACCCAATTCGTGTCTTCATAGATGTACTTTGGATGATCTTGTTCTTTTAATAGCTACAAGTCCACAAAGGGAGAAATTTGGACCAACTCATTCAGTGTCATAGGGTTTTGGTCTCTTTAACCCTTGGCTTCAGGGGAGCCTGACCTTGCTGATGCTTCACCTTGGAGGGGTGGAGGGAAGCTGGGAGGGGCAGTCCATTTTTCATGTCTCTAGAACACAGATCCCACAGGAGTGCTGCTGGGGAGGGGTCTGGGTGGTGTTTGTCTGTGTGCATTTGGGGGTGGGGTGGACATGGCTGGAGGAACAAGATAAATAATGTGGTGACTCAAGGGTCTTTTATTTTACATGGCATTTCCAAAAGGGGGCCTCCGATGACATGATTATCCCTCATTCCTTGGCCATTTCAGGTAAACCTCAGGCTTTCCCTTCTTCCCACTGGCTTCTCCTTTGACTTGGAGCAGATGTTTATAAAGATTGGAATCTACTAAAGAAAGAGACGAGAAGCAGCAAGAAATTACTCGTGAGAGAACCATTGGGGGGGGAAGGTCATAAGTGTGGCTATTTTTTTTTTATTGCTTCCAACTTTTTCTAGATCTGCTTTTTTTTTTAAAGATTTTTTCTTAGATTTCAGATATCTCAGTTTGTTTGGCCCTGACAAGATACTCAGACTCGTGGTTCTCTGGGCTCTGCATTTCCCTTCTGGTCCCAGGATTCTGGGGTTGGCGGGCCAGAGCTGGTGGGTTTGTCCTCTGGAGGACTCCCCAGATACTGAAGTGAGTCTTTAACCTCCTAAATTCTTCCAAGGGCTTGGCTGGTCACCAGCTGTGACTTCAAGAATGTGGGGGCTCTAAATCCTATAGTCTCTGGAGGTTGTACATTGAGCCCCAGGAAGGGGAATTGATAAGCTAGCAAGGTTTTAAGGATTTGAGGGCAAACCCAGGAACATGGTTCCTGGGACCAGGTGTTGTTAGAGCTGATTTAGTCTGATCTTTTTAATTTTATAAATGTGGAAACTAAGGCCCAGAGGAGTTCGATGTCCTTCTCATGGTCACACCACCAGGAGCAGAGTGATGGCTGGGGTATAGGCCTTGTGACATCTTCTCCTTCAGGGTTTTTTTGCATTATTCTCAGCTCATACACCTAGCCTTGACTCTGGTAAAAAGGAGACTCTCTTCTTAACTAGGTCTGAACCACTTCTCACCACTCATATCTTCTTTTAAAATGGCATTTTCCTGTTCTGCATTTTGGCCAAATCTTTTCATCTTTCCTTCTCTTCTTCCTTATCATAGGTGTGCAGAGGGGTGAAGTACATCACATGCAAAAAGTTTTAGTTAAAAATCATCTCTTCCTGTGACCACTCACCATCAGAGGTGATCTTTTCTAAATTTTTTTTTTTTTCGGGGGGTGGGTGGATGGGTGGATGGTGTTTTGGATGGATGGATGGATGGGTGGATGCTAACACACCACCTAAATTTTTTTTTTTTGCGGGGGGGTGGGTGGGTGGGGAGGGTAGAGTCTGGAAGCTACTGTTCAATTTCAAATAATATGATTAAACTGTTTATCATCTTTTTACATTTTGGGGTCTCATTGCTAAGATGTAGATATGGTTTGTCCCCACCCAAACTCATGTTGAAACTTTCTCCCCCGTGTAATGGTATTGAAAGGAAGGGGACTAAGAAGAGATGGGCCCTGCCGGAAAGCACCTGGCTCATGACTGCCCTGGGAAGGGATTCATGCTGGTCTCATGGAGTGGAGTGGTTAGGTCTTGCAGGACGGGATTGCTTGCCCTGGGTGTGGACTTTTGCAAAAAAAAGTTTGGCTTTCCTTCTTGCTTCCTTGCTCCCCATGTGATCGCTCTCTGTCTTGAGGTCCTTGCCAGAAGCCAATGTTGGTGCCATGCCCTTGGACCTCCAGAACTGTGAGCTAAATAAACTTTTACTTTGTAAAGTACCTGGTCGCCATTATTTTTGTTATAGCAACATAAAATGGACTAAGACACTCGTTGACTTTAAATCCTATTGCTTAAGATGGAGCCCTCAGACCTCCTAGGATAATCTCCTTGTCCTGCTCCCTGTTCCCACATACCTGCTTCTGACAACTCCCTGGCCACTTTTACACTGCTCAGGTGCTCTGCCTTCACATTTTGTCTCACATCCATAACTAGGTTTTCTGTGTTTTTTTGTTGACTCTAATAGTTGAAAACTAATAAATAGCATTTGTGCTAGAACTCTGTAATTGTTGTTTGGCCAAATATTGTATTAGGATCCTTCTCTAAGGGACCTGATGTCCTCACTGGGGGGGCCTCTTAAAGAGGACTACTCCTAACATCAAGGTCAAATTGAAGAACTTTCAAAAAACTTCATTGGGGGGCTGGAGATGTGGCTCAAGTGGTAGCACGCTTGCCTGGCATGCGTGAGGCACTGGGTTCAATCCTCAGCACCACATAAAAATAAATAAGTGAAATAAAGGTATTGTGTTCAACTACAACTAAAAAATAAATTATATTTTTTTAAAACTTCATTGGTTGCTTAAAATCATTTGACCAAGGTTGATAACTATCAGTTTCTCCTAAAACAGTCCCTGTCAGCCTTTCCTCTAACTTTTTTCCTGCCTCTTTCTCTGTCTCCTTTGCACCCTTCACTTCACAGAGAAAACAAGCATTGTTGCTATTTTCTTAGACTTTGGGGCTGCCTGAACTGAAAGATCTGGATTGTGAGGTGAGTTGAGTCAATGACAAGATTGAATCTTTGGACTTCCTTTGGACAGCAGGAATGAAATTATACATTCCTGATGAGAAGAAGAGGAACTGTTATTTTGGAGAATAAATTGATATTGATGATAAGTTTTAATTTTGTCTTTTTTTTTTTTTTGGTCTGTTCTTCCCAAAGGACGATGTCAGTATAATAGAAATCATTTGTTTGATGGAGCCTGTTGGGATTTATAATAATGATTCAAATGCCTTCTGTTGGACCAAGATAATAAAGAGCACAAGAGTATTTATAATATGCAAGCTGGGTTTTAAATCAATTAGTGGGTATCTGAGTGCCTTATATAATATGTCACTGGGAACAGCGACTGAAGGAAGAGCGCAGAAAATCTTAAACATTATCTCAGTTCAAAAGCGTGATACCTGCTGTTCTAAATTGCCATTCTGATTCTTGATTTGTATATCAAGTGAAATATTGAAGAACATAATTTACCAAGCTTGCAATTTCTCATGCTGGAGAAAATATGCAATTAGGAAATGCCCAGCATAGATTCAGGAAAGGGTATTCTAAGCAACTCAAAAGGCTGAATGTTAAACCATAATTTTCTGCAGATAACGTATCCACTTGGCTAGATGCTCCACCTCGTCACAGCTTTGCACAACTTCCTTTCTGTTCAAATGTGGATTTTGAACAGGCAAAGAGAAACATGGGGTAGAGAAGATGAACACTGTGTCTCTAAATTTTTAAAAAAATTATTAATTTTTTTATTCATACATTTTAGTTACACAAGATATTGGGGTTCATTTTCATATAATTGTACAAGCATGGACTCGAATTTAGTCTCAAATACTTTTCCTTTCCCTTCCTCCCTCCCTCCCTCCCCCATCTTATTCTCATTCCTCTCTTTTACTAATATTTCTTCTATTTATTCATAGTTGTTTTTTAAAGTGAGTGCATTATAGATATACACAAAGGTGAATTTCATTTGGTATATTTGTACATGTACATAGAATAGTTTGGGTCAATTCCACGCTACCAGCCTTTGTCCTGTCCTTCCTCTTTTCCCCTTCCTCTACCACACTCATCCCCCCACCACCTTTTTATCCTTATTTTGCTCTAGCTTTTGAATATGAGAGTAAATATTCAACCCTTGACTTTCTGCGTCTGGCTCATTTCACATGGTGGATGTTCTTCAATTCCATCCATTGATCAGCAAATGCCATAAAGAAATGGTAATTTGCTTTCTGATGTAATGGGGTGTTTGGAGTCATTGATGATGTAGGGGATGTGTCTCCCTGTGGCATTATAAAGTTGGGAGCAGAGAAACCTCTGCTATGTGGCAAGTATGATTTACAGGTCTGTAAGGTTTCCAAGGTTTGTCAGGGTGAATCAAGCTCTTCATACCTCTAGTCAAGGTGATGTGGGCAAAAAACGTTGATTTTTCTGTTATGTTCCTAACACTGGCTGTGACCTGGAAAACCTCAGAGGGGTTTGTGGTGTGAATATGGAGTGAGTATGGGTGCAGAAAGGGAAGCAGAAGTAAACATCCTTATTGAAGGTGGGGTCTGCAATGCCCCTGGTGGATAGGAACTCTCCCTGAATTTGTGTATTCATTACAATAACTTTATTGGAAAGTGGCAATTCTACATTGTGGCTGGTATTTAACATTTCTCAGACCCAAAGTTACACCAGCTGTGTTGGGCTTGCTGTAGGTCTTTCTGTGGTTTGGGCATAAACAAGTAAGGTCCAGGCTGTTCCAATCTTTTATAATTGATCTGGATTCTAGCCACTTTTCTGGGATGCCCTCTGTCCTTTTGCCAAAACATGCTTGTGTGTGTGCATGTGTATTCCCCTCTCCCCTGGAAAACTAGCCCTGGGCAAATCTAGTTTGTGGAGCTGTAACTTCCAAACAGCGTGATCTGAGTCTGTCTAGGTACTGCATAGCATATGTGTGTGTATATGTGTGTGTATACACACATTCATGCAAAATACGTGTTGTGGATGTGCAGTGGAGGTGAGACAAGGTTGCTCAGAGTTTTGTATGCAGAGTATGTCAGTCTACACAGTATGTGGGTGCCCCTCTGTAGACAGTGTTGCTAACTTGATGTTTCCATCCCGAGGTTCTGGAAACCTGATGTAAATATGGGCTCCCTGTCATATTTCTTGAGGATCCCTGAACTCAAGTTCTTGAATAAGCTCCACAGGGTTTCCCAAATAGAAGATGTACTTTAAAGTCTATGCACAGATAGTGCATGTATATTTACAGCAGCCTGAGTGGCACGAAGGTGTCCCTGCTGTGTGGTTCTGCTCTTAGTTTCCAGCTCCTAAGGGCAAGGGAAACAGGTCCCTGACCTGAATCTGTTCTCTCCCACATCATCTGCTGGTCCACTTCTGAGCCTCCCCAGCCCAGCTCAGATAGGTGATTCTGTCATGAATCTTGGCCTCACTGCGGAACCTCAGCTCTCTGCCTACAGTGGCTCAAAATGATGTTTCCCAAACTAGGTCTTCCTGTTCTCTGGCCTCATCAGATTTAAATGAGCCTTCTTTATGACAAATAGTTGATAAAAATGGTTATGATTTTGTAACGAATTTTACAGATTGAAAGACTATCCTACCCACATAATTGAAAGAAGCCCTAAATATAATAAAGAAATAAAAGGAATGTAATTTAAATAAAATGATGTATTCAGTCAGCCTTCTGTACCTACCAGTTGTGTGTCTGCAGGTTCCATCAACTGCAGATAGAAAATATTTGGGAAAAAATTTGCATCTGTATGGAAAACATATGGATTTTTTTCCTCCTCATTCTCCCCTAAATGATATGGCAAACAACAATTTATACATGATTTACATTGTATAAGTACAGTAAGAAATCTAGAGATGATTTCAAGTATCTGAGAGGAAGTGCATAGCTTCCATGCAAATATTGCACCATTTTACATAAGGGACTTGAGCATATCTATAGAGGCTCCTAAAACCAATCCTCTGTATATATCGAGGAATACTGAATGCATATCAGTCAGAATCCTGAAAAGAAACAGCACAGTAAAAATTGTTTAGCCAAAATTTCTTGAGTGAAGGTGAGAGCAGGGTTCTGGAACCAACCAAGGATAGGAAGGGTCCCAGGCATGAGCTCACACACCCCTAGGCCTGTTTGAACACAAGGGTTGTTTGAACACAAGCACTGAGATACTGTGAGAGTCGACCTGACGACCAGAATGGCTGTAAGTGATTAACAGGAGGGTAGTGTATACAGTGTGGATGGACTAAACAAAGATTATAATTCACATCCCACAAAGGATACAGTGGATATCAAGATATTTCATTGTGCTACCCAGAATGATTCATGATTTAAAATTTAATGAATTATTGACTTCTAGAATTTTTCATTGAACATTTTCAGACCGTGGTTAACTGTGGGTAACCAAAACTGTGGAAAGAAAAATCAAAGATAAGGGGGAATAACTGTATTTCAGTTTACAAATGCTGGATACTACTATGTTGGAAGAGTAAATGAAGGATGAAGTTATTGTATTTTAGTTGAAGATCACCCCATGAATACGGGAAGTTGGCAGTTACAAATGTGTAGTCCCATATGGATGCCTTGTGTCAGCAACTCTAACTTTCCCAAATTATGAACGACTCTCAGGAAAGTTCCAAATTAAACCAAATGTAATCTTCTCTTAATTTCCAGGTTGCATTTCTGAATATTTCAGCACATATTAAAATCATGCAAAATGTGTTTTAATTTATACATATAACATTGAGTTAGCTTCTCATGTAATTTTTCTCCTACATGAATGAATGGCAGTTGAGAGTTGGTGGGTGGATGCTGGACAAGTATCTGTTGAGTGGGAGTGTATTGTCTATGACAAGATAATTGGCATCCCTGGGTCTCACCCACTGAATGCCCATAGTACCTTGCAGTCATGCTAAAAAATGAAGCACCCCAACCACTTTGCACATGCCCTCAGATTTGGGCCTGCTGTGCCTTAGGCTTCAGATGCTCTAGTTATGGCTGGTGACATTGAACATCTCCAATGGAATTGCTAGAGGTGTGATTCCTCCAGTGCAGTTGTGATAAAACAAAAGAAAATCTCTGCGTATTAAAATGTTTTCTGCTCTGCCTTATTGGGGCCAAAGGGGTTTTATAAACCTCCTTGCTGAAAATGGATCAGATCTTGAGTCAATTGTTCTTTGAAAGAGACTCTCCTCTCTTATTCCTGTTAAGCTTCCTCTCTCTTAATGTGTTTCCCTCCAGCACATCCTCCTTTAAAATTAGTGGCAGCTGTCATTAAAATGACCCAAGCATCGTCACTGGGTGTCAGATTGGCCTGAACATGAGCTCCAGGGACCCTGTGGTGACAGTGGGCAGAGGCTGACTCCCTGCCGCTCCTCCATGCTGCCAGCACTCCTGTTCTCCCAGAACTTCTCTTTTCCAGGTTTCCTCTCCTCCTTGGTGGCCAGTTTGTCCCCTAGTGCTACCTTAGAGTAACTGTGGACACCATAGATATTGGAACAGATGGCCAGTTAAGTCATGATGGGATCTACCTTTGCCTCCGCCTTCCCTTCCCTTCCCTTCCACTGTGCTTGTTTGTGGGTGGAGACAGCTATTGGAGCTAAGGAACGCCCTTATCCCAGGGCACCAGATCCCACTGGGATGCACATTATTCCTAGGGATGCTGTAAGCACATAGAGTGTCTTTCCAAAGAACTGTAGTGCCAGTATGCAAATGGCATTTCATATATGAATAAGTTGATGGGCCACCTCCAAGGGATCTTTGTAACTTGGGAGACCTGGCTTATTGTTTTAGTCAGCTTTTTCACTGCTGTGACTAAAAGACTCAACCAGAACAATTCTAGGGGAGGGGAAGTTTCCTGGGGGCTCACAGTTTCAAAGGTCTCAGTCAGTAGGCAGCGGGCTCCATTCCTCAGGGTTCAAGGTGAGGCAGAACAACATGATAGAAAGTATGGTGGAGGGAAGCAGCTCACATGATGATCAGAAAACAG